GGTTTGCCAACGGGTGAAGCCTAGTCCTTCATACCGTGCACTGTTAAAACCTCTGCCGGTCCCGGCAGAGTGTTGGGAGTCCGTTTAGATGGACTTTGTCTTCGAATTTCCCGAAGACAATAACAAGAATGATGGTATTCTTGTGTTTGTGGATCATTTCAGCAAGATGGTACATTTGCTGCAGTCCCAGAATCGATAAACGCCCACGGCTGTGCGCGTGTCTTCATCGACACTGTTTCGACTCCACGGTATACCTCGTGAACTCGTATCCGACCGTGACCCTCGGTTCACGGCGGCCTTTTGGTTGACCGCGTTCCGCACATTGGGAACACGGTTGAAGGTGTCGACCTCTGACCATCCTGAAACAGATGGTCAGACAGAACGTGCGAACCGTGTCCTCGAAGAAATGATTCGTGGATACGTCTAATCCTTTTCAAATTGGAGTGAGTTCTTACCGATGGTTGAATTTGCCATCAACAACTCCGTGCATGCGTCCACAACGCATTCACCGTTCTACGTGAATGGATTACGCCAACCACGTATTCCCGCCGTCATACAGAGTGACTCTAAGTTAAGGGGGGGACTCGCTCGAGCAAAAACCGTTTCGGCTCTTTCTCATCACGTATCACCGCTCACGCCGATACGTTTAAAGCCGATGTCGACGTTGTCGACATCGAGGAAATCGATCTTAGCAGTAGCGATGACGCTGCCGCTACATCGGACAATGATGACGATGCTGGTATATTCAGCATCGTCAACGACAATGCCAGCGAGGAAGAAAACACCCTCGTTGAAGAAGAGAATGATCTCTTAGCAGTGCGCACGGAGCGCACTGAAAGCCAAAAAACGAGTCAGCAGAGAACTTCCTGCTTACTCGAGAGGCGGTAGTCCATTTTGTACAGAACTCCATCGCAAATGCGGTGGACCTCCAGAAACGGAACGCAGACAAGAATGGAAGAGCAAATGTTCTTTAATTTAAAGTTAACGACCTCGTACTACTGTCTACGGTAAACTTACCTGGACATGCAGTCACTAGTGTCGGAAGTAGTAAACTACTGCCGAAGTACATGGTCCACTTCGTGTGTTGTACCGCAAGGGCAATGCATACACGATCGAATTGCCACGTAAGATGCGAACACATCCTACGTTTTACGTGGGGCGACTCAGACCGTACTGTCAGTACGAGCCTTCTCCTTCCGATGAAGGAAGCCCCCACGTTCAATAATATCCATCAAGTTCTTGCGTTCGCGCTCCAGACGATCCGTCTGGTCGCGCAGATATGATACCTCGGAACTCAACCGAGATATCTCCCCGCAAGCTGTCGCCAGCTCGCCGAATAGGGAGCGGACATCCCGCTCGACCTGCAGCTGTGCGACCGCATACTCAGCGCGGTCCCTTCCACGGTTAGCCTCCTGCTCTTTGAGGTAATTCCGCAAAGAGTCAGTCAGAGCGTAACGCCGGTCGCGCTCGTGCTTCAAGTCATCGCGCAATTCATCGATTGCGCGATCCACCTCGTGAGGATCGAGATGGTGAACCGAAATATCTGGAGGAGGTCTTTCCTCCTCCACCACATTTTTTGGTGGATGCTCACGGTGATCAACGCTTTCTAGTGGAGCGTATCTTGAATCACCGTGAAGATTTAGGATCAAGGACGAGCTACCTCGTCTAGTGGCGGGGGTATCCACCCTCTTGGAACAGCTGGGAGACCCGCTCTCAGCTGTTGATGGATGTTGAAGGTCTCATCCGCCAGTATGACGAGACCCATCCGATGAGTCCTGTGGCCCATCGGTAAACACGCGCCCTAGGCGCTTGTAGACGGATTGCAAGTTTGCAATCGCGTCACGCATCTCCTCCGAGATGTGTGCCCTTCCCCAGGGCGAACTTAGGGAATACACGTCCCTATGTGCACGCTGCGAGTTGTCAACACAACTCGCACAAGGGTCTCCCCATGTGAGGCAAGGAATGCCTGCCTCACTCAACAAACAGTGCAAGCGATAGCTGGCACCGGTTGGCGTTCGCTTTTCGAACCCGAGGCGTGTCGCCTCAAGTTTCTTGAGCCACCCTTCTCGTCCAATATTCTTTACGTTTTAGACGAACGCGTTCCACGCAGCCAAAAGCGAGGCTTCGTCACGCTTTTGGTTGCTGTTGTACCATCGATGTCTAAGGAAGACATCGAGATAGAAGTCTTCTTCAGAGCGAAAGTTATTCGCGCTGGGACTCAAGCCGTGAAGCTCAGTCGCATCAAATAAGGGTATTCGATGGTGTTGGCTTGTCTCGTGAGACAAGCTATTGATGAGCTGCTCGGGCAAGCGCCACGGCTTGAGCTCATCACGCTTCACAGCAAGACCCTTGTCGGTACCACGGTTGTCAGTATGACGACGGGTTGCACCATCGTCAAGTCGCTCGTGCGAAAAAGCACAAGCTGACTTCGGTGATGAGCAAACATACTCATCATCAGATTCGTCATCACTGCCGAACAGACTGTGTTGCAACTCACGAGTCCGTTCGTTCGGCAGTGGCCGTGGCGAACACTGGGGCGTCGCCGGTGAGCGAGACGCCTCCGCAGCATTGCCCGAGTCAGACACGTCTGACTCGCCAGAGTAGATGACCTCAATATCGTGGTCATCATGCGCACGCGGTGCTGTACCGCGTGCACCTGCAGCACCTCTTGCTGCAAGCGAAGAACGAGCAGCAGACGACGAATCGTCTGCCGCAGAGGCGGGCACAGACTCTGTGTGCCTTGAATCACCCCGCATAGACATGCTAACTATGCGAGGTCAAGCGGAAAGTGAATGGAACGGACCCAACAAGTGCCCCCTGTCCCAATGGTGTCCAACGGGTGGCCGCCATATTTTTGATAGTCACACGGTGACTATCAGTTAAGGGGGGTGATGTAACGGGGCAGCCCGTTACATGGAATCGTCATTTTAAAGAAATAATGACAATAAAGAATAGTAAGTTTAATATTCTTTTAACAATATCACCAAAGTGGTGATATTGAAGGGTCGACCAAAGAGTCTGTTCAGTGGTTGATATCTTGATGATATCAACCCACCAATCGCCGCAAGACGCGCGCAATGAGTAGTGACGAGACGTCACCATACACTCAGTTAGATTAATATAATTAAGTTAGGTCAAACTGAGAGACAGTGGTTAAAAGACTTAATTATATTATTATAACAGTTTTTCTTTTTCCTTATTCTACGCTTCCTCGCTTGCCTCGTGTACGTCTGTCGGGGCACCCAAAACCCTTGCGTTAAGTTCACGCAAGGGTGTGGCCCGTTACACGAAGTGTCAGTCCCTTCTTTGACCAGCGGCTTTCTTGGCAGTCTCGATGCCGCACGTTTACTGAAGACTTTTGTATGTAGTTGCCCTATCTGCACCGAAGAAAAAACACGATTGGCAGTGATGTTCAAGGGAATTGCGCCACCTTTGTTCAACGTTCCCGCATCAACCCGTTCAGACAACAACTGAAATTTTTATAAATAACAAATCCCTTGATACCCTGACTGCTACTTCGTACTTGAAGTAGCAGTCGTTCATCGTAAAAAAAACCACGTGTGTGTATCGAGACGACAGAATACTCGTGACAGACTGTTTGAAGCTGAAGCAAACCGAAGCAGCAAGCCACAAGCACCAACCAGGCGAATCGAACGAGGCATCTTCTATTACGTGCAGATCTACGGTCTGTTCACGGAGCCCTCGCCTATCCTTCTTATCCTGTCATGATCTCGCTGCTCTCGATAGCAGTATCATTTTGACACGTCGCATCGAGTCGTCTTGTTGCCGAGGGACTGACTCTCGTCAAAGCTTGCGTACCGTGCAATGATCGTCAAATCGCAGCTTTGCGCATCGCAAATTTGCGCTCTGACGTTTGTTCAGGCCGTGGCACACAAAGACAGTCGAGATGGCCGGAGAATTCATAATAGGAGCATATAGACTGTGTTATTGAACGGTTTGTGACGTGTGTTAAGACGCCTGCAAGTAGCCAAATCACCTGAACATTACTAGCGTCGAAGACTTGAAGTTATACGTGGTCATGAACGTAGCAATGCTTCGTTCTTTCAGTTGTGCCCACGCGCCACGATTGTACTGCGACAAATACATTTGCCGCAAGCGCTTCCTTGTTTGGCCAAATATGTTTGGCCTCGTACCTTTGTTGTACTGACAAATATACAAACCACAGGCGTTACCATCCACGATGTGACGTGCGTTGCACGAGCAACGAATCGTGGCATCGGATCTGCGCTAGCAGTAGTTCTGGACCTATGAGGTGTCGTATACGCAGTTCGTCGGGCTTCGAGTACGATCGCCGAAGCAATATCGCGTCATATGTGAATGCCTTCAGCTGCGATATCGACTTTGAGTCGCCGCACGCCACCGAGTGCGTGAATCGAGTGGTCTGCTCGAGAGAGGCTAACTCGTTTCGGCTCGCGCGAAGGAGATTAGTCTCCGACGAAGCTGTCCATGCTTAAAGAGCGAGACCTATGTTGAGCTAGAATGTGACAATATTCGAATCGATTTGAACGATTTTCGACGTGTGTCGTATCGTAGATCTGTACGACGACACAAATGACAATCCATTTGATTGCGAATCCGTCGGGACAAAATCCGTGTGAAAGCTAATGAACGATTGCAGCTCAACCACTTGCTGAGAACGAGTAGGGGGGTGCCGCGACTGGAATAACTTAACCAGAATTACTGTGTAGTTGAGGAAGCCGTCAGTGACAGCAGAAGTGTACAAAGCAACTTCTACTGTAGCGTTTGTTTGTTGTATGACAGTTTTACCGTAGCCACACCCATGTTCGTCGTTAAGCACAACCTGACGAACTCCTTGAAGAATTGCTGACTACTACTGCGTTTCCCTCTTGATTTGCCGCTTTCCGGTTCAGGAACAAGTCGTCCAAGCAATTTTGCTGAGGACTTCATTCATTCGACAATCAGCCTCCTAGAGCTCCTACCCACCTGCACAACACCACTCCATCGTACCGAATCTCGACATGCGTGCATCGTACCTACCAGCTGTAGCAATGCTCTGTGTATTGGCTCGTGGCGATGTCTCTGTAGCAGCATCGGAACACGGGACGACGTTGACGTCTGACGTGACTTCGTCGATCTTGCCTCGCCGCCTGCTTCGCACGGATGTCACCACTCCGGAGATCAGCAGCGTACCAGTAGAAGGAACCCCAACCTTGGCATACAACGCTACACAAGCAAAGGGAGGAGGCGCCGACGACAGCAGTGACGACAGCGATGACATCGGCAAGGATGGCGAGAACGACAGCAGTGAAATTGGCAAGGAGGAAAAGGACGACAGCAGCGACGACCCTTTGAAGAGCGGAAAAGCTTGTTTCTAACCTCTGGAATGGAACAAGGGCCTACGTGACACTCTTCGTAAGGCGTGGTACGCGCTCAAGCCCGGGGACCACGTATTTACTACAAGGAATTTCTCGGTCATACCTCGCCAGATAGTTGGATGGAGGAAGGAACTACCAGATAAACGCTACGTTCAATTGCTTTGGCTTTTCAGTCACTAAATTTTGCTATGCCTTTGCGTGTCTATCATCGTTGGAGGTTATTCTCAATCGCAGTTATGTCGCAGGTTTAAAACAACGCTGTAGATGTACAATCATACCGATTTGTTCGTAGACTTCCAACTGGGTAAGTAGTTGATGCAGCAGGAACAACCCCGAGTCCGACATACATTTTTCGATTCCACAGATCGATCGTGTACAAAGATTTTGATGCCGCGTGATTTGTAGTATCATCGTAACATGACATTAGTTCGCCAGATAGCAAGAGGACGACGAAAGGTAGTTCTTGTAGCAACAGCGGTGGAAATGAAGATAGCGGTAACGGCAGCAGTCGTGATCCTTGACTCATTTCTTTATCGACACGTGTGCGAATTCTTGCCGTGGCGTTTAAGACATATCGCCACGTGCACTTCACTAATGACCGAAGGTGGGAATAAAGTGATCCTTAGTCATGCATTGATATACAATACATGCTCGCAACGACCGAGCATGCGAACAAACTGAATCTTACTCATGCATTGATATATTATACATGATCGCACCCTATTGTGAGCAACATGTTCACTTGTCTGCGATCTTGTGCATCACAAACAGCTTTCTACTACATTTTCGCTACGCTTACGGGATATGCACCGCATTGTCGAGCGCTGTAATCATGCAACGGTAGATACTTTCGGAAACGTTTGCAGCGATCATTTGGTCTAAGATGCATTCATTAACGTGTAACTCCACACTTTCGTATAGACTTCAACAGCATCAATAGCACAAGGCTGTGCGAATAGTCGGTGGCACGTACGTTTCCTGATGCGAATCGATTTTTATGATGATGCGACGCATGACATTGAGAGGAAACAATACAGCAGAACGACGATATTGCTTTCATCATTTCCTGCTAGTTTGAGGTTGACAAGACACGATGCAAAACCTCTTACCCGGCCTCTATCATCATATCGCACATGTCGCTGCGACAATGCATAACGGTCACGCAACAATCTTAAGCAAAGAATGCCTTCGTTGCAAAGAGAGGACATTTAACCACAAGTGCCTCACTTTCGTCGCCAATTCTCACGAAAACATATGCGGTGATCTGTGTATCCGATCCTGCTACGCACTGACCACTGCCATCTTCTCCGATTTATTCCTTTTTGTCAAGAACTAGCCAAAGATATTGTCTCACGCCTCTGCTCAAAATTCGTTGCATTTTTGATTGAAAGAATGTTTTACATTGAAAGTTAACACAAAAGGTTTGCTATATCCAATGTAGCTTGGATCATGCGAAACACATGATAAGAAGACATGGAGTGAGAAGACGATCGAGACTCTTTTCGCAAAAGCTTTTCGACAGAGTCTCGAAAAGGTATTAGGAACGCTACAAAGTGCTCCGGAGCTTCCTCTTTACTATTCTGGACACACTGCTTCTATATTTATATAGTTGACGATCGCCATTGTAAAAAATAGCACCTATTTGTCCATTATAGATTTGCAGCAAAATTTAGCAAAAGGAAAGAATAGCAAATATTATTTGGCAGTCATAGGAATAGCACAGAGCAAATAATAAAACAATCGAGATCATCGAATTGCGCCACAAGGTGAGAAAGAAAGAACAAAAAAGAAAAATGATGTGCTGATAGTATAAGCACAAAATCAGATAAATCTAATTTTCCATATACGATGTATTTATGCGTTCAAGCAGGCGTCAGCTATCGATCATTTTCCGAAGTTCATAAGCTTAGTCGTACATTGCAACCAAATATCGTAATAAATTGGAAGAAATGATATTCTTGGTGGTTGAGTGACGTAAGATCAATATAAATTAATCGGCCATTTGTTTTATACATAAAGATTGTTGTAATGCAATTGACGACCTGCATGATGAACAAATACTAAACGGGGTATCAGTGTTCTGTATTTCGCCAAGGATCAACCTTTGTCTGGAATCTTAGCACATCATAGGGTCATTGCGCTGAAGTTGTGCAACACGCGGCCGGAGGGGATCAATGATGTCGACAAACCTTGTATCATATTGGTCCACCTAAAAAAATAGTGCTTACATCTTCTCCTACTACATGCGACATTTTTCAAATGCGCTCAAATTTCGATTGGCAGTTGTTTTTGCGGCAACAGAAATAGTTACACGAGAACGAAAGACGCGCGTACTAGATATGTTTAGTCTTTTATTCAAAAAAATTTGTCCTGAAATAGCATACGTATGATCAAAAACCACCACAACGAACACGCATGAAAAAGGGAGTTGTTGTCTTTGCCTGCCCAAACGACAGTACAACGGATATCATACATATTAAAGCGAGTCGTATATGGTTAAACTGTACCTATAAATCTTTTAAACCTGCTCTAGTGCCACTGGATATTGCATTCTTATCAAATGCTATGTAGCGTAAGCGCTAAATTGATACTTAAGCAACTTTTTGCTGCTATGTTGGCCATCTTACACTTCACGTACTACACTAAACATTACTTTATATGTAATTACCAGCTTCCCTGACCTTCATGGTTATATACACAACTGCTACCTTCTTTGACATCACATAACAAATTTATTCATTAGTAATATGTCGCAGCGGTACTGTTTGTCCCATCACCGCACGAATTCTCCGAGCACCAACATTTCAATCACGATTATTTTTAATTTACGAATACTAAAATGTGTTTCGTTTCACGTTTTCTTAAATAAGCCAATCTTGCTTCTCTTTAAGGTGACGACTTTGGAGAAATGCAACTTAAAAGTATGTTTATCGTGGTCGGACGAAATATCAAATTACCTATGTAAGCATATTACCAGGAAATGTACTTGTTGTCAACTTGTGCAGGCATTCAAAATATTAGCAAAATCAGTCCATATGTCGCATCTTCTTGCTAAAAGCTAATTCATAATGTAATTTGCAGCAAAAGTTGAAAATGTAAGAGGTATTTTCAATAGCACATCATATAGTGCTTTTTATTTTACGATAGACTCGTAATATGCATTAACTTCATTAAATATCATTCCAAAGGGAATACTGTTGTATATTTTTTTAAATGACTTACCTGAACTTCTGTTTTGACGCCGCCTATAGCGTGACACGATTTATGATCTCTGGGCTGTTTCCCCAATTTTGCTAAATCTCTGATGCAGGTCGGTAGCGTCTTTAATTAATTGATCTTTAAACAATGGTATATAATTAGCCGTGACATTCTAATGTATCAAAGCTCCCGAGTAAGGAATCCATCATGCTGTCTCGAAGGGCTTTCACTAAAAGTTACAATAATGAACGACCAAAGCGAAATTCATACCCTTGATCTTTAATTTATTGCATTAAATATACCCTTTTTAATTTCGTACTATAAGACTGGGTCCTAATACATGTTTGTACTCGCACAATCGTAAGTGCGGTGATGGTTTGCATCCGAGTGCTATAAAACCTAAGCTCTTGAAAGTACAGTAGGGGAATAAGTATTTAGTCTGTAATGCACTTTTCGTCGTATTATACGTGCAGCTTTGATATCGATTCATTTTCTCTTAGTTTTAGTATCACATTATTATAGAGTAAATCTGGGGTATACCAAAATGTAAAAAGCCTATGTTGCACTACTTATTCTACGAATGATGTCAATTACGTCCACAAGTTATATGTGAATACAAATATTTTGTGTAGGTGGACGCACAGATCAGTTCGGATGTACAATAAATCAACATGACGACTTTATCAGTATTTACGATAATCATGTCACTCTTTCCCAGTCGTGTAACAGCTATATGGCCAAATGAATAATGATGATTAGAATTGCACCTTTGACACAACGTAATGCTATCTCTCTGCGACGAGTCTAAACGCAAAAAAACAACCGAAACCATGACCTATTAACCAATCAATTAATTATCTTGATAGATTTATCTTATCAACTGTTTTCCGCCAGCCCTTGTTTTTCACTTGTACACAGATTGGCAACAAAAATTTACGACAGATTTGTCGTCATCAGGTGAACTTAACATGATCCTCTCACAATAGTGACATTTTGATCTGTCATGTGGCTGTTGCAGCGCATTTTGAAAACCCCATCATTGATTATCGTGTTGTCGGCCTGTCAATGGTAAATAGCCATATATAATGCGAAGGTATCGCATCGCATGATTACATGGCGTTGGCACTTGAAAATAAATGTATAGAAACTGTTCAGAGCGCTTTACTAAATCTCCTTCTGTATCAAGAAAAGACAAAAATACAAGGCCTTCTCGTCGCGAGTACGCCGGTTCGTATTCAAGCCACGATACATGTGCGATACGAGAATACATACGTTTATGAGACCGAACGAATGTTTGGGTCTAATGGTTATTCAAAATTTGAACGGAATGATATGTCTTATGACATATAGAGTCCTCACATCAAATTACCTCTTTCGGTCACCATTACCACTTGACTTAGAATGAAGTATAAAACGGACTAAGATATAAAGATAGTAAGGTGTGCAAATTGAAAGACTTTGTAGTTTATGCACAACGCGTGCGACAATATATATACATTAAATTAACTAGAACAAGAACAAACATGGCATGTGCTGCGAAAGATCATATATCTTGACTTTCTGAATGTTGTGATATGTCTAATAAGACGTGTAGCCTTTTTTTAAATTCGGCCTTGCCACCCACGTAGCGCCTCATTAATCTGAGAGGCAAAAAATGTCACAATATTCACTCATTTGTGTCGGATCGAGATTTAAGACATCCGATATAGCGTTTTAGGGCAAATTATTATTTTGCTAAACTCAGATGGATGGTCACTCAATTGCTAAGCATATTTTTTTTAAATTGACTAGAGCAATGATTA